TATATATATATATCATGCACTCTGTATATCGGTATAAGATGAAGTTCAAAATTCGTATTAAAAAAAAGAAGGAAATATATATTGATTAGATGATATTATTAATTAAAAATTAATTAGAAATGAGTAAAGTTGTATAAAAGTAAAATAATTTATTACAGAAAGAAATTTAAATTTTATGTCATGAATAAGCATATATACACACATTGTATATACACATTGTATATTCTTTATTATTATTTTTATTATAATTTAATTTTAATTAGACTACTTATTTCATATTTTACAGAATATTTTACAGAATTTTATATTTCGAATAATGTGCATATATATATATTACATAAAAAAAATTAAAGAGAAATAAATGTCACATGATTATAAATGTTTACAATGAACAAATTTTATATTGTTTATCGTATTATGTATAGAAAACATGCGAATAAAGAGATAGATACACGAGGGAGACCCATAAAGAACTGCAAAAATGCTGATACTCAATGTGACATATGTGACAAATCATTTGATACAATAACTGCAACGATAAGACACAGATTTAAGATGCATCCTAATTCACCAACCAAATTTTATTGCTCTTATTGTGGAAAACAATTTCCTTTACGGGTAAATAATTCAATATCTCTTTGTAATAATTTCTCTTTATAATTTTTGCAATAATTTTACAAAAATTCCATTGTTTAGACTCATAGGGATAATCATCAAACCTCACACGACTCGTCAGAAAGTAAGAAAATAGAGCAACACAGAAAATGCATGGATTGCGATATGTTATTTTACAACAAAAGAGCTCTGGATTATCATTATCGTTCCATTCACAAAAGGTAATGGTTTATTGATTGATCCATTTTGGGGAATATAATTGTTATACAATTATTAATTGATTGTTTATTCTATTTTTCAGAATGGTATATTTGTTCCAACCTATAGCCACTCCTCCGCCTAGTAATAAAATCAAATTAAACTCTATGAATGATGCACTGAGTGTATATTATTGTCATTTGTGCGGTGCTGAATATGTTATAAAGTTCAATTTGCAACAGCATCTGGAGAAGGCGCATACTCGAGTAAGCAGAATAAATTACAAAAATATAAAATTATTGTTTATTTTTAAATATACAAGAATAAATTAGAATAGAGTTAATTAAAAGAAGGAAATGATAATTTTGTGGGGCATTCTATCTAGAGACTGATATATCCTCTCATAATGCACATTGTGTCTTGCAGAAGGAAAGAGAAACTATGCCGGAAGATTTAATCAAGTGTACAGTGTGCTCAGCATTGTTTTATAACAAAAAGGCCTACAATGTTCACAATTCTTACCATCAACCAAATGATCTATATGTAACTTCTGAACAACAGAGAGTGCAGACAGTAACCAAAGTCGATCAAGACTTTGACATTAGGAGAGTGGAAGGTGTAGCTGATAAATATATACCACGACCTAAAAGACCACTCAAGCATCGAACAAAGGTAAATCTTAGTCTCATTTTTATTTTTCTGCTTATAGTCAGCAAAATTTAATGTAATATAAATTTAATGTAATATTAAATGTAATATATTAAATATTGTAAGAGAAATATTTCAAGTAATCGAATATATGCTTTATGTATAATGGCATGTATATAGGTATAATTAAATTAAAAATAATATAATTTATCATATAATAATTTAATGTAATGTAAATTTAGCTAAATAAGATGCGGAAGACAGAAACAGAGGAGACAAAGAGCGGGAGCTCTTCGGATGATCCTGTGGGCACTAACGAGTCTAGTGATTCCGAGAGCGATATTCCGCTGGAACAAAGAATTGCCAGCTAACAGAGATTTTCTCTCTAATCGTAAAAGGTTTTCTATCCTGTTTCAAGGAAACTCTGTTGTAAGAAAAGTTTATATGAAAACTATTGCACTCATAATGGTTATCAAACTGATTTGTGTGAGAGTTTTCTTTTTACAATTGTTATGCATATATATGCGTGTTAGAGATTTAGATATGTGATTGTAGAAAGGCAAATGTGTATTCACATTTTTCAGATCGCGTTCAGGAAGTACGACAGTTATAATTGATCATGATTAATTATGACAATTTACTAATTACATATAACCTTTGCGCAACAATTTTATACATCATATATATCATAGACATAGTATATCTAGACCGAGTGTTGAGGAGTGGGGGCTAAGGTGCACGTAGAAAAGGACATATACTCTGTTCCGTGCTCTTGCGTTCTCTCTCACTCGCATGTAGCATAGCGAAAGAGTACGCTATGCTACGTGCGAGCGAGAGAGAACGCAAGGGGCACGAAACAGAGTATGTCCTTTTCTACGTGCATCTTTACCCCCACTCCTTAAATAAAGGCAAACGCTCGGTCTAGATATACTATGTCTATGATATATATCTTTTTATATATTAATCCTGCATATATCCTGGACGTGATTTAATTTTTTTTTATTTCTTTATTATAGCAATACTGAGTTTTATTGTAAATATCAACATTTTACATTTTATTTGCTTTTATCTGCCCGGAGATATCATTATAAATGATTTATATCAGAAACTTTTGTGTAAAAAAAAAATATATATATATATATGCATATATATAAAGGTTATGACATGATTCGATTCCCGATTAAATAATTTAATAATTTTCAAATATCGCGCCTTCTAATTTAGCCATGGAAACCTATTATCAAAGAATTCCCTAGATCCTCTAGAATTTTGAGACGCGCCACGTTGGCGACTTCCGCTGCGACGTACGGAAAAGATGCAGCGGCCATTTTGCGTTATCGGTTTTCGCGTGTGTGAGTGTGTACAGTGTGTAACTACCGAAATCTGCGCTGCGTATACTTGTTAGTCGTAGCGATACGTAGGATTGTTAGAGCGTCCCGCTGATTGTAATAAGTCGCTCTGATAATTCGACGAGAAGATGGGACGCAAGAAGAAGAAGCAGTCGAGACCCTGGTGTTGGTATCCTTTTCGTTTCTCCAGGAAAGACGGCGACAACGACGGCCCGCAACAGTCGCTTTTACGTAACCGTATTTTTAGATCAACGACGTTAGCTATGCGATTATACGAGCAGGAATCGATCGGTTAACAGTGATTTATACAGCGGGTGATACGATTCATCTGGAAAAGTTTCGAAAAATTGGTTTGGCTAGATGTCCATGGAAGGCGGGGAAATCGATACGCGATTTCCTCGCGCCAACGCGACGGGCGTGCATGTGTATGTGTTTTGTATATGAATGTGTATGTGTATATGAGACAGCGCAGCTGTTTTCCCACCGTCATTATATATATATATATAAATATGGCTCTTATACATTTGACAGATTTGACAGATTTGACTTAATATACATAGTTATTATATATAAATATTTTCTATGATTTCCTTAATCGACTTATCAAAAGGTATTGCAATCGGGAATTTGAAGATGAGAAGATTCTCATTCAACATCAGAAGGCAAAGCATTTTAAATGTCATATTTGTCATAAAAAACTATATACGGGACCAGGGCTTAGTATACATTGTATGCAGGTAAATATAATTATATATTACATTATTGCACTATCTATTCTTTGTAAATGCATCTTCTATACTATTTTTCCCTTCAATGTTTAATTAATAATTACTCATCTATTTCATTTTGAGTGCAAAAAAATAAATAATGATTACAAAAATCAAATCTTATGTTCCATCCATTTAATATTATTTTAAGATTAACACGATATGCTTTTCTTTGCAGGTACATAAAGAGGCAATAGACAAAGTACCCAATTCATTGCCAAATCGTAGCAATATCGAAATAGAGATTTATGGAATGGAAGGCATTCCGCCAAATGACGCAAAGGAACATGAAAGACAGCGAAACGGCGGCAGGCCAGGTACACCATCGTCCGGCGAGGACGAACCCGTACAGAAGAAGGCGAAACCGGAGGGTCTGCTGGGTTCCGCGCCGGGTGCGATGTCTGGTATGGCAAGCGGATTACCTGGAATGCCGCCACAACCTGGTATGCCACCATTGCCTGGTATGGCGCCGCATCACGGCATGGCGCCGCATCATGGTATGCCACCGCATCCCGGTATGCCTCCTATGCATCCTATGATGTCGATGGGCCACGTAGGACCTCCGTTCATGGGCCCAGGGTATGTATATATTTCTCGGTTAAAAGCAATCTTGTACATTAAGTATATCTTATTATGAAATAAAATAATAATATATATATATAAATTTAATAATATTAATTTTTTATTTATTAATCTCTCTTTATCTTTTAATATATATCTAATTTAATTTATATCACATATTCAGGTATTTAATTATATCCGGTTTTTAACTATTAGTTTGACTGTTATGTATATATTTTTCTATATGGCGATTAATTTTTATAATCTTTAATACACACAAATGTTTTCATTCAAATTATTAAACTTTTTTTTATTCAATTTATTTTTCTTTTTCTAGCATGATGCCTGGTATGTCAGGCATGCCTTCTGGTATGCAACCGCCAGTTTCGGGTGCATCGATTCCGGCGCGTCCGCTATTTCCTAGCGCGGCCGTTTCAACGGCGGTATCGACGGCAGTGTCGGTCACCGGTTCCGCACCTCTAGGCACGGACTTTAAGCCGATCACATCTGTGGCCAGCGGTGGCGGTTCCATAGGGCCGGTAAAGCCGACATTCCCCGCTTATAGCAGTGCCGGCGAAGGCATTTCCGCAGCCGCAAACAATCTCACCGGTGGCGGCGATCAAAAGGTGAATCTTATCGCAACTACCGGAGCCGCCAGTAAAATCATTCACCCTCCGGAAGATCTCAGTCTAGTAAGTTTTTATTTTTATTTCTCGTGTATTATTTCTTTCTAATTATCATCTATATCATTGGTTCTAAAATACCTATGCTAGACTCTTCTAACTCTTCTTTAATCCGATAAAAATTTTTTAAGATAATGCAAAGCAGATTTTAAATGAATGATTTGTTTTGAAGGAAGAGATAAGGGCAAGGCTGCCTAAGTATCAACGTCGACAGACCGATGAGTCTGGACGGTCGGCGCAATCGGAGGCAGCGGCGGCAGCAGTTGCAGCTGCGGCTGCGGCAGCTGCAGCGGCAAACCAACAGCAACAGGCCGCCGCGTTGCAACAAGCAGCAGCGCAGCAGCAGCAAGCAGTGCAACAGCAACAACAACAAGTGCAACAACAACAGCAGCAGGCGGCTGCGAACGTGGCGGCAGCCGCGTTTCAGGCGGACCAGCAGCAGCGGCAACAACAGGCGGCAGCGCTAAACGCATTGCAACAACAACAACAAAGGTACCCGCGGCCGCCGCAAGCGGTCATGGTACCGGCCTCGGCGGCTGCGATGCCGGTCAGCTCGGTGGCGTTAATGGCGCCTCTAATGCGACCCACCATGACTTTAGCGCCTGCTCTCATTCATGGAGGTAACATGATGCGACCGCCCCCCATGGGCCTGCCACCAGGTAAGTCTCTGCGGATTTGAGCTCTGCGAAAAACTTTACTCCTTTTCCTCCCCCTCTTTCCTTTTTGTATTCAAATAAAGCCACCGTATTGTCTTTCTTATTCCCTCTTATCGTTGAAATTTCGAAATTTTCCCCCTAGTACTTTTATCGATTTTTTTTTTGCAATCGCTCTTCCCCCCTTCACCTCTAGCGGCCGTGCAGACGGTTAATCGGTGTACGTGGATAAATAATCGTACCGGTGGTTAATTTTTTGTTATTGTGAAACATTTTAGATAAAGCATTTTGAATAGTTTTGTGCTGCTTTCCGATTTAAAAACAATCTATAGGAACGTCCTCTCGAACTTTTCTTTCTTTGAGGACAGATATATTCGTAATATAATAATATCAATTTATTAAAATAGAAGAAAAAGTAGCATTTCCGATGGAGTATATATTTATTTTTGACTCTATATAAATCATATAATTATAAATATTTTTATAATGTCTCTCGCGCGACACATGGAGTCAAGTAGATATTTTTCACGCAATGACTGAAGTTTTCTCTATCGTTGTTATTTTAATTTTATGGATTACGATTCTATCGGGAATGCAATGTATTATATCCTTACATTTCGTTTTTGTAAACACGATCCTTACATTTATTATCCTTACCCGATTCTACTCAGTCGACAGCCGAGGAAAAAAATTTTTCTATTTATGTGGAAAGCAAACAGGAAAAAAAAGACTTGAATACTAATTAAAGATTAATTTGACATACTTTAGTTCAATTCAACTCTACATTACAGTGCAATGTTTGCTCTAATTATCCATGATATAGCAGCCATTTCTATTTTTTAAATATAAAATAATTAAATGCTTAGAGAGAGATAAAGACAGCGAGTGCGATGGGACAGATAAATAAGAAACAGACTGGACATTTGGTGGGGGGAAAGAAATTAAAAAAGTTGACAACGTGCACGAAATTGCGAATATTACTACTGACTCGAGACAATAAAGAGAAAGAGAGGCGACAAGAATGTCACATGACTACTCAGATAAAGGTGTAGAGATCACGCTCAAGATTCTCGACCGAATGATACGCCACAGAATCTCGACGACGCAACGTCTTGTAGTCCTTGTGCGTTTATACGTTTTAACGGTGCGTTTGCAGGGCGCCCGGTCACTCCTCGGTGAGTGTCGAACGAACCCAGTCTGGTTACTAAAACCGTGTTTTACAATACAAGCGCTACAAGGTTGGTCCTTAGCAATTAGCATGCGGTGACATGGCCTATATATCTATATACATATATATATCTATATATCTTGTTATATTTATTATTATTATTCTTACATTGTTGATTAATCTTGTCATCATTGTCATTAATACACCTACATATGTATATATACGTGTATACGTATAATATATATACAGTGGCACGAAAGCGCTCTTCGAACGGCGATTTAGATCGTAGGAATCTGTTCGAGTAGTTTTCTCAAGCTATCGTATATATATTTCTGTATATTCGTAATATTATCACTGGACGAGAGTGGGTCGAGCGGCCAATGACACTTCCTTCTGGATTCCAACTTTTTCGTCTAATTTAGAATTTCGTTTTGGACACGCATCCTGATCTGAAAATGCGTCCTCTCTGGAGATTAAAGTAACGAAAAAGATTTTTGAAAAAATATGTAGAATTTTTTATCAATCACTAAAATACATGAGCGGTCGCTCTCTCTCTCTCTCTCTCTTTTCATTGGGATGCATCTACCCTCGCACATTATGCGTTTTTAAATTAATGTTATTTTTAACGATATTTTTTCGCAACGGTTCTTTTCTCGTATCTATAATTTAGCAATTTTATATATACATATATTTTTTTTTTTTTTTTTTTATCTTTGTGTAGACTCTATACAAATCCTAGTACAGTTCATTGACGAGAGAACAAGAGAAAGAGATATTTCCGGCCGCTCGACCGTTACATTATTTTTTCATCATGTATGATTTCTTTGTTTCTTTTACGTTCTCATCAGCTTCTTTATTCACACTATCTCGATTTAACCATGTTACTTCTTCTTACGACTCACATACGCCATTATTTACCTCGCCAGCAGCCGTGTTACCATCCTGTCTCTCTTTTCAGTATATTACTTATATATTATATATATAGCTTGGAATCCTGGTGTTGTGATATAGTAGTGAAGAAACTGCTTCTTTGGGCACGGTACTGACAGTCGTTCGAAGTTGTCGTTCCAAAGAAAAAAAAAATAGAGGAAAGAAAGAAATGATATAATTATGTAACGATAATTATATTTATATTTTCTCTCGCGATCTGTCCCTTCCTTCTTCGCATTCGGTTGGTGATCACTCTGATAAAGTAATCAGCGTACTCACGCATTGAAATTGCTATAATTTCGACATGTTTATTTTTCTATGCTATACAGAATGTTGCGGATCTATCGAGCCACTTTTATCTTCCGGTTTTTTGATAATTTTGGAATCATTTTTTTATAAGGCAAAAAAATTAATAATAAAATTTGAGTTATAAATAAGCAAGCGTCTTCTTTTCTCGAAAAGAAAATTTTCTATTCGAAAATTAATTATAGAATTTTTTTTAGTCTAAGATAAAAAGAATCATTCGTAAAAAGATAATAAAAAAAAAATTATTTGTAAAATAACAAAATGCAGATGATATATAAACAATATTATTCTTACTTTATATGGTAAAATTGATTTTCAAATTGCTCAAAGAGCAATGGAAGATTGATCGCCAGATCTGGAGTACCGAAACAAAGTACAATAAATAAATAAGACAATAATGGAGCGAAGAGGGAAGGGATTTAATTATATTCTCACCGTACTCTTCGGTGCATTTTATTTTATTTTATTTTTGTTTTCATGGAAAGCGCGAGAAATTAGCAACGAGAACGAACGTAACGTATCTCCCTCACACCATAGCCTAGCTTTTGTGTTACACAATCAAAAGATTTTAGATAAATTGAGCCAAACAAAACAGTAAGTAAACGACTTCACGTTACCTAGTATATCTATTAATAACTCTTGCGCTCAACCGAGGGTCCGCTCGATTAACACGATATTTTTCTCTTTATTATGTTACGTGAATAAGTAAGTTGCGTAAATATGAAAGAGAGAGCGAGAAAAAGATATCGCTTCTCGTGTTGAGCAATTTGACTTTATCGATTTATTTAACGCGTCGCAGTGCTTAGAAAATTTCAAGCCAATTATTTTATATTACTCGATTGTATTACAAAACGCTATAGAATTCAAGGATCTCTGGCATTTGATTTTGGATATTGGATCTTTTGACATTTGAACGCGTTTTTGGAGCATCGCGTCTTGGAAGATTGGCTGACAGCTGAACGATCTCTGCGGGCTTTCATACGTATATAATATTATACAATATCGACGAAATATCGATTGCGTGTACCCAAGCGAGACTCGTTCTTTGTATGGTGTGAGGTTTTCTTTGTGTGGTACCACCTTCTTGTCAGTTTTGTTTGTGACTTGTATTGCGTATGCGGCGCACTGCATGCTGAGCTGAGTTCTTCGTACATATATATATACATATACCTATCGTATACATATATCTAGTTTGGAGATTTGCATTTAATCAGAGATTGCTGGGTAGTACGTAGCACGTGGACTGCCGTGAGCAGGTTTCGGGTACGTGCCATGACGTATTTAAAGTATTGTACTTGAGAAATAGAGAATAAAGAAAGATTCGTCATCTCGATTTTCACAAAGAAGCGCACTTTGCTTAGAAATCGAAAATTCTCCCTTGACCGATTAATATTTATCTCGGTGAGTAGAGATAGATTGTTGAAAAGTGCTCTTCGATCGAGTAGTCGATTGAAGAAAATTAATCGAATAACATCTCGCGAACACTCTGATATGAATTTCTTCCGGTGCAGTGTAATCGTTCAGCTGTCAGATAACTTCTTCTTCGGCGAAACATGGGTCTGAACCGTACTTTAGATTTGAATATTATTGTACCATTCAATTACTTATTCATTATAAATGTAAATCGGGATTAAAAGGCTAAATTATATCAAAAAATTTTGAATTTACAATTTTTTAATAAAATATTGCGTGTGTAATAAATTTTTATTTTAAAGAGGAATTTAATATGTTGTCTTTTGTCGGGATTTTAATTATATATTTATTAATCCTTAAATATAAAATTTTACCTCTTGCAACAGATTTTTTAAATTTACTTATTATCGCTTTTCAAATTTTTATTTTGAATTATATATTGTATATATATTGCATCAATAGTTTTTATATACATATTACCACGCCACTGAAAATTTATTTTGGATGAAAAATTTAGCTCAACACTGATCTAATCGAAAAAAATTAATCTTGAGTATCGAAAGATCTAGTTTTGATATTAAAATAAATTTTCATTTGAAAAAAGTTTTAATCCTTAATTTTTATTTTTATTGCATAAACTGTGTGGGTCAGAATTATTTTCTTTAAACCATTAGAAATTTTTTAAGATTAAATTCATGGCGTCACGGCAATTCCACGACTTTTTTTATGCTGAAGAACACGTGGTCCTCCAAAAACGAGCATAATATGACGAAATAATAAAAGTTACAAGAAGAAAACACGAAAGATTAAAATTAATACAATACATGCAGGATTCATTTCTTATCTTGTAACGTGAATAGTTGCAACGTAAGTATATCGGGGACTTCGAACACCATTCAAAGAGGGCGAGAGAGAGAGATCCTATTATGGGGGATACCGTGAATATGACGCCGCCTCGCGCGGCGTCAAGATCGGATAATAAAAAAACAAAAAAAAAAAACACGTGTCCAGCGCACGTGGGCGACATACTTTTTCTTTTTTCCCCCGCAATCGGTCGCGGAACGAACTGATCTGACGCTGCGTTACTTTGCAGGCATGATAGGAGCCATACCACCGGGCGCCGCGATGCATCCGGCTTTCGCCGCCGCGCCGATGGGCTTTCCTGGGCCGATGTTGGCGCCGATGATGCATCCGCGCTTCAGATGATCACCCCCTATGGACGGGCCCAACCCCCCGCCGCTGCACTTCGTGCTGTGGGCCCGCCCCTAATTTTCGTAGGGTCTGGACCTGATTGAGGAAGAGATAGACAAAATCACACATACACGAATCAGAAAGAGAGAGAGAAAGAGAGAGAGGGAGAGAGAGAGAGAGAGAGGAGACAGAAAGAGATAACGAAAGAGAGAGCAAACAGGAGATCCACGCGGTAAAAATCGCACTCTGCACTCTCTCACGGTTTTTTATTTTATTTTATTTTATTGTTGAATAAAACAAGACGATATACGGAGAGAAAGAAAGAAGGAAAGAATGAAAGAGAGAGAGAGAGAGAGAGAGAGAGAGAGAGAGAGAGAGAGAGAGAGAAACACACGCATGTCATCACGTCATCGGTGCCTGAGAGGATTTTTTCGAAGAAATCGAGTGTGCGTTGGAAACGGTCGGCTTTTTCATCGCCTTCTTCTTTTTACGCTACTACAAAAAAAAAAACAACAAAAAAATACAAACACGAAACTCACTAATCGTTTGCATCGACTGCGAATATGTGCGCGCCACGCTACGTTGGTCGTGAGTGCCAGGTGAGCCAACCAACCATGAGCGAATTACATCGCCTTTTCTACGGAATGAAGCTAAAATAATATTCGTCGCTCTGTAATAATACATCGTCGTTTGCTCTGCGTGAAAACGCCAGTGCGAATCGACTATCTTATCTACTTTACTTATCCCACGCCAGTTTTTTCTTTTTTCATCGAACAACCATTATATCGCGTTGCTAATATCCACCGAAATTGCGTTTCTCATTCTTGTCGCGACGACAACGTCGTTTGCGGCGCGCAATAACATTCCCGTTCCTTGCCGCTCTTTTTCTTCAAAGGATCGATCAATCGAATAATCCGAGGATTCGGTGCGAGAGTTAGCTAAGTCACTTAATTTGTAAGGCCACTTTAAATAAAAATTGTTTAAAATGGATCTTATGAATTACGGATTTGTCGCCTCTTGCAACGAATTCTTCAATTGTGACAGCGAGGTGATTATGACACTGCAGAAAAATTTCAATGATAAAAATAAGTTCTCAGTGTAATTGAGTCTCTAATAATCTTGATTATTAGAGGCATTAATTTTATTTTTTTTCCTAATTGTGCTTATATAAGTAAAATTGTAAAATATGCAATATCTTATATTTTTTTTTATATTTGTTTTATATTTAACGACAGTCAAATTAAGATTTAACATATCGACATACTCGAAATACGAGATTATATATTTAATATAATTTTAAAAAATAAAGAAAAATAAGCATAGAAAAAAAGATTATTTTAATTCAAATTCCACATGAAACGTATTTCTGGAAAAAAGCATGTTATTACTAATAACATATGATAAATAACATTATTATTGATATTAACTAGCAAGATCTTAAAAGGTTTTCTAGTCAGAAATACATGAGAGCGAATTCTATCGTTGAAAAATCTGATGAAGTCACATTTGCCTTGTAAGATCATAAAATTAATGATCGACCCTGCACTTTTTTCGGGAAGTGATTATACTTTCAACAATGACAAAGTGCCCCGCTTAGACAGAGACAGAGATTCCTCCTCTTTCCCCCTTTTCTTGTGCAGTAGACCGTTTCCATCACGCGCTATTCTCCTCAACCTTTGTGTATCTGCAATGTTCTTTTGGAGAGACACGGAAAAGCGCTTCACGCTGCAGCTGAATGATAATTTATTTGACTGAATAGAGTTTTCAAGACGAAAAATCGTTCCCGAGGTTGTTCTGTTTCGTAATGTAAGAAATTTTTGTCTCGCTACATGAAATAAAAATACGGAGCGATCGAAGACGCATAAGCCAACGAAAAAAAGAAAAAAAGAAAAAAAAACCAGTTTGATACTTAAGTATGCGTTTAGTTAATGTGTACATATAAAATACATTAGCCGCAGTGTGAAGATTCGCTCGTCTCAATCTGTCAAACATCTTTTTTTAACACTGAGTCGAGTCGATGCATAGTTTAGCGACGCGTTAAATTACGTGAAGTCAAGTCATAAAAAAAATTTTGAAAAGCATTTTTTACGAACTTACAAAATTAGCATTTCAGCAAGAAATTTTCGTTATTAATTATATTGAAAAAAATGTTTATAAATAAATTCATAAAATTTCAATTTGAGAAATAAAGAGAAATGTAATTATTTTGTATTTTAATTTTGTGATCTATTTTGATGCGATAAATTTAAATTTAAAAATGTGTAAAAAACAGCTTAAATTAATTTATATATATATAAAGAATTAAATTATATGTAATCGATAAATTTTTAAATTTGCGAATAAATTGCGAGATTAATCGACTCGACTCGTAAAAAGCCCCTTTTTTCTTTGTCAAAGGAACAATGGTGGTGATGTGAGTCTCGGTTTGAGTGAGTGGTAAGTACGGGTGGTGTTCACGGAATTGAACCTCAACTCTCTAGATTCTTGACTTGCGCCATTTTCTTCATTCTTTCCTTATTACATCTCGCCGATTCTCGCATCAATCGTAGAGCGTTCGATCTCAGGAGATTTTCTATTTCGCGTAACCACTTCTATCATTCTTTGAAATTCTTTCTGCTATTATGTCATTCCGTTTATAAACATTTGAGCAATTTGTGGATTGTTAATAGTATAACGTCTTGATACTGCACTGTTGCAATTTACGATCGGACACGCTCGGTTTCTTTTTGTCCTCTGTACAAGACGGTTTTAACGGACTTTCCTATCTTCAACTTTTGGCACTTCCCGAATTTCTTTTATCTATCTCTCGTCCACTTAACATCTCTATACCTTCTATCTAATATACTATGCTCTTATAAATCTCTATTCAGGGTGTCTATTGATAATGTTACTCAGACTATCTGTTTTACTGTGTCTACTATAGTTTCTGTCGTTAGGTCCACCTATAAGACACGCTGTTCCTAGAAGCTAAGATCGTCCTGACTTTAATGTAGTCAGTTGAAAGTAATTGTGTGTCATTTTAACGGAGCAGCTAAAGTCGATTGTATCGTTCATCTATCGATTCGAATTATGTCAGTTAATTTTAACCCTAGCTCTTAGATTATTATTTGTCTCTTTTAGAAATTAGCATAAAATGAATCGATCGAACTGAGATATAAATTAATTGACATCGGCGAAATCGACTACGTGTCGTTTATTGGTCAGTTTCATCAGTGTCGATAAATTTTTCACTTTTAGTTTTCGAATGGTTGTTTATCTCTTTCCTAAATCTAGAAAGAAAGAAAAAGATCAATTATCAGAATTAATCGATATTAGCAAAATTTGACACTGTTTTCACTGAGATTGGTTGACTTCCGTTCTAGTTCGATCGATTATACTAAAAAAAAAAAAAAAAAAAAAAAAAGAGGAAAAATCGATCGAATTAGAATTAAAGTTAACGACAGAGAGATTGCCCGTGTATATATATGATGATATGTTGTTTACATCGTTATTGTTCGAGGTGTGTGTGTGGTTAGCGCGGTGACGAAAGGATCGATTGCTTGCTTCCTGTATTGTTGTCTTCAGTAGGCACCCTGCTGCTGGTTTCCGTTCTTTCGACCACCACTCTCGCCCGCTACCATCTACATCCGGTATCACCACCGACATCTTCTCGACAAACAAAAACACGAAAGAAAAAGAAAAGAAACAAAAACAAAGAAATGAAACGAAATGAAAACAGCATTGAAAGAGCGCGCCGTACAACACGTGTACGTACCTACATTAAATGATCTACGCATCGTTATTATAATTCCTTTATTTTTCAGGGGTTGTCTTTCCGAATCTCCCCCGCGAATACTCCGTTACTTTACTCTCTTGCAATTACAGCGCTTCGTTCACGTCTCTTCCGAGGGCTCCAAGGATCGTTGACCGCTCAAGGAAACACACAAGTAAAGTCATTAAAAATTATAAAATTATCCAAAAAGAACAATCTCTCTTTTTTCAAGTGCCTGATTAGATATAATATTCGGATTCGCGAGATATATGTAACGTTTTCCAAAAAAAAAAAAAAAAAAGAAAAAATCGAAAAGCGATGAAAAAACGTGGTTAATCGATCCATCGAAAAAACAATCGAGCTGGAGCATCGATCGCGCGATTTTCTTTTAGAAAAATGAGGAAAAATATTAAGATAAAAATAGAAAAATAAAAAAACCGGAAGTTTTTATATAAAATTTGGAAATTTTATATTTTCTTTTAAAACGAGAATAATTACGACTAAACGAAGTCGATAATTGCGCAATCGAAACTCCGGAGTTTTTTTTTTCCTTTTTTTTTTTTATACTCGTGACAAGAGAGAAGCATGTTTCACGCGGTACCTCGCACTCGGCGATTCGGCAGGACAATCTGAAGGCAGAATTTGGAGATGTAGAAGTTCTGTTATTTATTGAGTGTCATATTATCGACTTGTTCCGAATAAAGACGTTCTGTGGAAAGTTCGACATTTTTGGGCATAGTCTGCTGTTCTGGGATATGTCATCGTAGCGATCTCGCAATCACATTTTTCACGACTGCCGATTTCGTGTTCTCAATAACGTCTCACGCGTATATTTTTATAATTATATAATTCTCGATGTCTATACAATTATACATATTCTCGTATAGATATATACTTAACTGATTAATTATATTGAACTCGAATATTATCGCTGGGATCGTATCCCAGAATTGCGGGCGACAGCCACATATTGTTTCAACCAATCACAGCAATCTCATCGCTGTTGGACCTATTCGGTCCCTTGCCTCAAGGCAGGCGATTGTTTGGACCTACCGTCCTAGAGTCGAGGAGTCGCAATCTCCCGATTTTCTCTCATCCTTAATCGAGACGATGAAAAGGAAAACGAACGAACTCTCGTTTGAGATTTCTAGTTTTCAGTTTTGAAGTTCAAGCGATGACTGGAAAACGAACACGAAAATAAAAATTGCGTTACAAGTAAAATTTGATTTCTTAATAAATTTTTATTTTTTTGTTCATTAAAATTAATGTCAGAAAATATATTTTTTTACTCGACATCGCTCAAATTATTAATTATAGTATCGATGCATTTTTTATTTTATATTGACCGTATTATATTGTAGCTTTTTTCATATATTTTTGTAAGGCAAATAATTCTCTAAATGCATTTTTAAATAAATATTTTGCTTCGGCATCCTCTTTCCAGTCAGTGGCTCAAATCTATTCAAGTTTCGCATAAGATGGAAGAAAAAGTCTGGGAGTTTGGCGGTTCTCGGCTCGGTGGACGCGTGGCTGGACCGAGAAACAATATTAATCATAATAATCGGTTAACGAATCGCGGGTAAACCGTATTAACCGATCGATCGTTCGGAACGTCGAAACGAGAGAAGATTGCCAGATGTGTAGAGCGATGCGATTAACACGTATCTCTCTTCTGGATGAAATCTTTCAGAATGCTTTCTGATTGCTTGGCTTCTGTAGAGAGAGACACGCATCCCCAATTAACACCGATTTTAACATTAGTTTCATAAATAAATTTATAAAAATACCGAACGCTCATTCTTGCTGTTTGAGGATTAAAATTATTTCGAGCATCAGCGACTTGGCACAATAATTAAATCTATATACATTAATTTTAGAATTAATATCCCTAAAATATTTTTTGCACAATATTTTTCATTATTATTATCAAATTTTTTCTCGTGTTGTCTTCAAAATCGAAAAGGTCAACGATTGGCTTCATCGTACGCGATTTCAGTTATGTCATCGAATAATCACGAGTGTTTTTAAAATTGCCCGCATTTTTATTTTTTTTTTCTCAGTTGATGTCAAAATTTGCGAGACTGAACAACGCGCCTCTCGTCTTCGACAGTTCGATCGTATCGTAGAATGCTTAGCTGGCTCTATATATATATATTTATATATATGTGTATACCAAATATCGTCCTGTGTCTCTTGCGCTCGCACGCAAGGATCTTGCCTCTTCCACCCCCGTCTCCCTGCCCTCTCTTAATATCCTCTTATATCCCCCTTTACGCTAATAATGTCTTTACACACTTGGTGACAGCGGATGCACGATATTCGCTCTCGTGGGGATCGCTTTTGCTCGGCGAACCGGTAACACGGTATCGCTCTTTGTCATCCTAATACTATATCATCCTGCGATTCGGTCCATTCGGGAGTAAAGCGTGTCTTTTCGACGACAGTGCTTCGACGCTTTTCTCTCTCTCTCTCTCTTTCTTTCTCTCTCTCTTTCGACTATTTTAGCGTTACGGTAATCTGTGACAATTATTTTGCAACAAAATTCAAACAAATCAAAATCTAATATCGATCTGTTTAGCGTAGATTTTTCATTGAATATTTTTTGTTCATATAAATGTTTATTACCTCATTATTTTTATAATGATTATAATAAATACTATCGAAGTATAATTATTATTATATAATCTATTACTTCAATATTTATCAATTCAGTATAGTTATATTTTTGCAAAAATTTTAGTTTTTTTGCGCATGATTTTGTTATTTTATCGATAATTTTAATGAATATTTTATATTTTCGTTACTTTATGATTTCGAATAAGAGATTTACGCGAATCATGCGTGTAATTTTCTACGACTTATATATATATATAAGACTTAACAACGCGCGTTGTCGAGACGTTTTATCGCGATTACGATGTTTAATTAGACATAGCGTTCGCTTAATTGCTATTCGCTTAATGAACACAACGACAGTTAGAGCGTCGGATACACGTCGTCCTAATGTCCGCTAAGAACGGCACCTCGCAAGAAAGTGAGACCGATTTTTCGCGAACGCAATCGGAGGAGAGTTGATCTCGCGGACAAAGACTTGTTTTTGCCGCCGCTTTATTTCCGAAGCGAGGACCGAACGCGGGTACACTAGACGTAGCTTCTATCCTTCTACAACCTTGTTGTTTTCAGCCGACTGCGTACGAGCAGAACGGACAATAATGATCGAGGAAGGAAAGAGAGGGATAAAAGAAAGTAGCAAAGTGACACGAATGTGTATATCCATTCAGATTGATTAAATAAAGTCGTTCGAAAACGAAAGTGTCGAAGCATCGGAGCGATTTTGCGATCGAAGTCATGCAATGCAATTGGGAAGATCGATAATCGATTGAAAGACAGAAGCAAAAAAAAAAAAGAAATTGACTGAAATGAAAATGATTAGAAAGATTCGGATTGTGACTTCGATTGTGATAACGCTTGTCTGTTTTATTTTAGCCGTATAATTCCTTGAAAGAGAGGATAGTGATTTTGATGTTCCGCTGTATTTTATAGAGATATGAATTAAATGAATTGAATTTACAATTAAGAAAACTGAATCGAATGCAATAAATGAAATTATATTTATAATTAAGAAAGAATTCATAATTGAATTAAATCTAATGTAAAAAAAATTGAATTAAATATGCGTGTATTTAAGATTGAATTGAATTTATAGTTAAGGAAATCGAATTAAATCGAACGAGTTACCTCAGACTTATAATTACAAGAATTGAATTGAATGTCCAATGACGGATCTATCTCGTCACACGAATGAAAATATTTATTACGTGAAGTCTGCGTAGTTAGCAGAATGAAACTGTTACCAAGCTTCGGGAAAAAGATCATTGTCTGATAAAACTTGATACAACTTAAATAGATTCTTTCTGCGAAACTGGTTTACCAGTAACTTTCTATGAAGCGTAGTTTCTCATCGCTTTCGCGTTCATTTCCTTTCCTTTCTCGAGAGAAAATAATCTCTGCGATTACGAAAATTTATGGATTATTATGATTTCGCTCATTGCTCGAACTCTGATAGTAATTTTATCAAAGATATATCACGCATTTTCTATTCCACATAGAAATTTAATTATAATCACAAAGAAATTTAAAAAAGTGCACAAATATTATATATAAAAAAATTATATACAAAAAGTTTAAACCATCGAAGATATACAATTTGATGAAATAACTAAATAATTTTGCAGTTCTCGATAAAATCGATAATTTAAGAGCTTTTCATCTTGTTGCCCGTAATTTACATTGTTCAGAAATATCGGTTCAAGACGAGAGGGGAAATAAACTCTTTAATCGGAATGTCGTGATCAAAAGAGGATGTTTAGACACGAGGCAAGAATGAACCGCGGGCACACCTGCGAATGCCGATGGCATAGTTCGAAAGTCAAATGTCTCGTTGCCTTTTCTGCGAGTACACAATAATAGCTGCACCGAGTAAGCCCTCGTATCGATTGGTCGACACGCAATGAATTTCCCCTTGTTTTTCGAAACACCCCTCGCGCGATTGCACGTCGTTAAACATATGTAGACCTCGGTGAGCTCGAAAGCTATGGTTAAATAAATAGACGTCCGGTAATTTCAGAGTGCACACCCGCCACGTAATATCGTCGAGAGGTCAACGTTCGCGATAGCACAATCGCGATTATACAGCACAATCGACCGTCGAATGAAATTTGTCAGTATTATAGAGTGATACCCCATATTTTTCATTCGTATGCAATTGTTCGCTCGCGTCGTAAATTGCAACAAACGAATAAAAGCAATATAAAAGTTGCTTTCTGTAACTTTATCGCCGCGAGTTATACTATATCGGTGGAAATCGTGTTTTCCGACTTTTCCCGAAAACGATTGATATTTTAATGATCATTGGAATCTCTCTTTTAAATTAAATTTATTAGAAAATGTTTTTCCCACGTTTTGTAAAAAAAATTATTCGATGCATAACTCTTTCAATTTTAATTACATTCTCGAGCGGAATAGAAGTATCCTTTATTTTTGGGCACGCGAAATACTTTCCTGTGTTATCAAATTTTTTTTTTTTTTATGTATATAATTAATTTCTTTGGAGTGTATCTTGATTAATTTTTATTTTGTTTTGTAACGAATATAAAACGATGCTTTCAGCTTCACGACAATGTCTTTCGCAAAGGCAACCTGATTACAGTAATTATCCGAACGACATTGAGAACATTATATGACTGCGAGAAGAAAGAATAGCTTTTCACTTTTTATTAATATTTATCATCGAGCACCGCGCGAAGCGAACCGGTTATCTGCGTAAATAACGTCGATTTCGTCATTGCGGTTAGCGTTTATCGGTGATTTTTACCGACAAATAGATGACTCAGATTATGTTTAATTGCGCTGGAAATAGCGGTCGTCGCTGATAATAATTTCACGGCCTACTTAAAATATCTCAGACTTTTTAGACTGATCGCGCATTTTGTGACATGTTTGATGGAGAAATAAAAAGTGATTAGAAAATATTCTTTAATTAAATCAAAAATGTTGAAGATTAACAACTTAAATACTAATAATAGTGAGATTATATATATATAAAGATTTAATCTTTTCAAGATCATATTAATAAAATAAGGTAAAAAATAAAATAAAGTAACAAAAGATCAAACGATCAGCAAACAAAGCATTCGCGAAAGGAAGAACGAGCAAGGTCTTGGAATTTACCAGGCAGATTCAGGTGAATAGGTGAACCGATCGATCAACGGTGAACGGCAGGACGAGTTAATCCACAGTATTGTATCGAACGTTTTATCCCGCAGCAATTATTTCTTCGAAGGAAGAAGCCAGTTTCAAGGTAAAATCTATTATTTTTGCTTCCTCATAGAGGAAGCTTTGTTTTCGTGACAAAATTTTTTTTCGAGTTTTCTATGCCAATGTGTTTAGAATGTTCCAAAATGTCGGAAAATCATATTCCTAAAAAATGTGTGTGTGTGTGTTTTTTTTGTTTGTGTGTGTGTGTGTGTGTGTGTGTGTGTGTGTGTGTAATGTCTGTATGTGTGTGTGTGTGTTTTTTTGTTTGTGTGTGTGTGTGTGTGTATGTACGCGATTTTTTGTACAACCTCTAACTTCCGCAATTTTTGAGATACCGGGTTAATTTTTTTTACATGGATAGAGTATCATTCAAAGATGATTGGTAGCTTAAGCTTTGTAAGATAAAATGATGAGGAAGCAATGTGCAAGTTTCTAATTTGCACAACTCAACTTGTTTTCATTTCTATTCATAGGAAAAAGATCATTCGTAATCGATATTATTCATCTTTCATAATATCGTTTATAAATTCTCTCATTCGTAAAACGACAAATGATATAGCATAGTCAAGTCAAATATTATTTTTTAAAGTAAATTCTTAATCCTCTCTAAATCAAAAATTTGACATCAGATTTTAATTTAGGAGTTTCGAATAATTTTATCTAAGATTTCGATTATCCAGACAACATTTATCGAGTTCGAATCATACGCAGTATTGAATTATGATAGTGAATCAATCAAAGATAAACAAACCCATTATGATTAATATTAAATTTAACGTGACATCTTTTATTTTCAATTCTTCAAATCGGTCTTTATTCTTTTTTATTCTAGTATCTACTAAAATACTCTCCACAGAGTGATAGAGAGGTGCAGAACGACGATTATACGGCACTGGCAATCACGAAAGTGAAAGCTAGGTGTAATGTATCTATCCACCTACCTACCGACCAATCGACCTCGAAAAAGCGTAAAATTCTCGTAGCGGCACAAGCAGAAAGAGATTGCGTGATACGAGAGACTAGAAAAACGCCCGGTTGCGGGAGAGGTAATTCTCGTTCTCGCTTATACACTCGCGCCTCGGTCATCGATTCGCTCGCTCGCTTCTTCTCGATGCAAATAGCACGCTAATCTCACGACGACGTTTTCTTCATTGTACTCTTGGATAATCATCCACGGACTCGCTCACCCGGATGGGAAGACGACGGCATTGTGATTCGTTTCGGGAGACTTTCTTGAATCGCACATCTGCTCGCGTGTCTATCTGGTTAATTCTATTCATTCGTTTGTATTATTCCAGCATTTTTTTGATTATATAACAAATCAAACGTGATGACGGTATAATTGAAGAAGGAATGTCTTCTTCACCTGTAATAACGGTTAGCTTTGGGACTGAGATTTTAGGAGTAAACAATTTTAATTGTAATTAATTTTCTCTAATAAAACAGAATATAATAATAATTGTTGTTTATTTTAATTATTTTAATAATAATTATAGTATATATATAATATATACAGAGTGTGCCTATTTATTACAGTATTTTTTAAATCTAATATTAAAAAATAATGAAAGAAAGAGGAGGAAAGGGAGATATACTTTGTATATTATATATATGTACATATTATATTTCTATACAGCTATCGTGAAGTGTAATTCTTATATAAATAGAATATTATTAATGTTATTTATAGAAAAGTATCTTTTTTAATTGTTACATTTTTCGAATCTATGCGTTATTAAAAAAATTCCTAATTTTTATCCTGGAAAGGTATTTAAAATATCTCAAAGGCAACTATTATCTGTTTTGTTATACTTCAACAGATTTTTTAAAAAGAGACGATACTAAATTATAGATATCTCGAAGAAAGCGAAGATAATTATATATATAATAGATATATATATTTATATAGATATATATCATTTCTCCATTATCTCTTCGATTGACTTTTCTGCGTTCTTATCGTTGCCTTTGTCCGTCAACAGAATTTCCATGTGCCTGAAAAAGTATGGATATGGCAATTATTTATTTGATCCCTCGGGGCCAGGCCCGATTTATATTATTATCTTTACAGACTCCATTAGAGTTCTTGACAGATTTCTTTGCGATCGTTCTCGTTCCTCATCTCCTTCTGCGCAATTGTCGCGATGGATCAACGTGGCCGGTAGGTTTGTCGACAAACGGATCTCTGCAACGGTACTGTACGGTGTATGTACCTAGGGGAAAATCTACCGCGGCTACGGCCAGGTCGCCGCGCCGACCAATTCCCAGTTTGTCGCGCTTAACCGGTGCGCGTGGTCCAACCTGCGCCGCTCTCTCCCGAGACGAGATCTAAGCCGAGCTGTGGTGTGATCCAAAATCAAGCAGATTCAGTGTAAATAATCAATTTCTGAACGTCATTGATTATCCTTCCCTGTTTTCGTCGCGTGAATGTCTTTTGAATCCTTAATATAAAATTACTGAAAGACCTAAAAGACTCGTAAAATGGTCATAAAACGCGCGTAAAACATCGTAAAAAAAATGTAAAAGATGTGTAAAGATAGTTTAAAAGACGTTTGACTCGTGAAAATACCCCTAAAAATTGTTTAAACA